CGTGACGAATACAAGCACCCTTGGGAGAAGCTATGTGAGGCTCCCCTTCGCGTCCTTTTGCAACAGGTTCCTGAGTTTAAGGTCTGCAAGGACACAGCGTGTGGTGGCAAATGCAGCGGCTTCCACGCTGCGGTGGACGAGATTGTTGAGCATCTCTTTCTTGATGCTTGGGCGCGCCAGTGGGTCAAGCTTGCCGGCGGCAAAACCAAGCCTGCTGATGCGGAACTGTTTCAGGTCTTTGTGCGGCTCCCGGCCTCAGCCTTGCCACACGTGTTCTGTGCCAGCCTGGATGGGCTCTACATTGAACCGCGTGCCGCGGACGGCACAGGTCCCCATGCTGCATGGGCTGTTGTATGGTTGCCAGGCTACTCCGCTGCCCAGGCAAAGCATGCCCTTCGCACCTCGGAAAGGGCCATCACAGTCACCAGGCTTGGCCACAAGTATGGGCTCCGCACCAAGGAGGCCGATGAACAAGCGGTGTTCGAGCTGCTGCGTCCACAGCACCAATTTCTGAAGGTACGAGTCACGGCTCGTTTCAGGTTGCATCCACTGCCGCATGGCTTCCAGCGACACAACCTGGTGCAGCTTCTGCAGCAATGGCAATGGGTTAGCAAGCCGCTTCAGCCGGACCGTGGTGATTCTGTTGGCTGCGCATGGATTGTTGGGGCCTCCTCTGACCCGCCGGCTCCCGCACTTGCTCTCGGCACTGGCTTTGTGCTAGTTAGCAAGATCAAGGATGTTGGTCAGCCCCGTGGGCCATCCAAGGATGTCTGTGCCTCCACGCGCACTCGCAAGGCCCTGTTGCTTGATGATGATGGGGACGCTTTCCCCCCTGATCCCTGGGCGGATGGCTCCGATCCGTGGTCCAGCGCACGCCAAGCCGCCGTACCGGCCAGCTCCTCCACTGAGGCTGTTACAAAGATTGCCCAGGTAGAGGCAGGTCTCAAGCAGGATTTGGAAGATCTTGTGCAGCGCAAACTGGATGCACGCGAGGCTGCCGGGCCTCCCCCTGGCTTCTCCGATCAGGATAAACGCCTCCATGTCTTGGAGACAGCCGTCAATGAGATGCGCCACCAGAGCACAAAGTTTGAAAGCTGGTTCCAGGGCTTTGGCACCAAGGTAGCCGATCAGGCTACACAGCTGGAAACTCTGCAAAGCACCGTGCAGGAACAACAAGTTGAGCTTGGCCGCGTTCGCACCGACTTGCAATCCACTGTCCAGGCCGCCGTGACCTCTCTGCAGGGCAACCTGACCAATCAGATGGCCTCCCAGCTTGCAGGACAGATGGAACAGATTCAGTCCCTCTTTGCGGACAAAAAGCAGCGTCATTGACTACGCCAGCCCGGCCGCTGTTCTGAGCAACACGGCGGGCCGTTCACTTTCGTTTGCTCATCCTCTTCGAGGCGGGCACTTCGCCCCTTTGCGCCCCTCTCGTGGGTTCTACGGTGTCTGTGCTGTCTTTCCTTCTTCGTGCTGCAATGTCTTTCAGGCTTTCTGGGCATTGCCAGTTGTGTAGCCGGGCTGCCTCTTTGGGTTCTGAGTTGCCCAGCCGCTGATGCCTTTCGCTTGGTCCCTTCTACTGCCACCCGTTATGGTGAGGCGGATCACCCAGGGCCTGATGTAAACTTTTTCATTAGTACCAGCAACCCGTCTGGTCTTCGTTCCAAGGAGCCACTTTACTCCGATTGGGGTTTCGGAGTACACTGTTTTGCCGAGACACAGCTCTCGGCTGTCACATTGCCTGGCAGCCGTCGCCAATTCCAGCTCTGTGCCAAGGCGGCTGGGAGACAGGCTCGCGTCACTGCTGGTGCGCCTGCTGCCCTGCGAGTTAACAGCCAATGGGCGGGCACCTGGACTGGGGTTCTTCAGGTCAGCGACCTCCCTAGCTGCCCTTACAATGTGGATTGGCCCCCTGGCCTCTTCGAGTCCGGCAGGGTCATGATCAGTCAGCATTTTCATGAATTGCTGCCCGTCACAGTGGCTACTGTGTATGGGTATCCCCAGGGGCCCACGTGGCCTGATGCCTTGCAACGCACCGAACAGCTACTGTGCTCTATCACCCGGGAAGTCGTCTTGGGCTCTCGTGGTTTCCGGGTGATATGCGGTGATTTCAACCACGATCACACTCGGTTGCATCAGTGTGAATTATGGAGGTCCCAGGGTTGGGTGGAGGCGCAAGACCTCGCCCATATGATCTGGGGCACGGCCCCGCAACCTACGTGCAAACATGCCACACGGCGTGACTTTGTGTGGCTGTCGCCCGAAGCGGCTGCCTACTGCGTTCAGGTCCAGCTCATCGAGGTTTTCCAGGAGCATTCTACTTTAATCGCCGGGTTTTCTCTTCCGTGCCATGCCGTTGTCGAGACCTCCTGGCCTCTCCCCGCCGAGTTACCCTGGGCTGATGTAGATGTAGATGCTTGGCATCTGCTTGCGGGACATCAGCCCGTTGCTCCTGTCCCCGATTCCACTCGATGGTTTTCGGCCTTCTCTCATGCCTTTGAACACAGCCTCGATGGGCACGTCTCCTCTTTCCCAGGTGGCCACCTTCCCGCCAACTGTTTCGGGCGCGGCGCCCGTGTGGCGCCTCAACTTGCTACTCCGTCTGTGCGGCCCCTACGGGCCAGTAGACCCGGTGAAGACGCCCTGCGCCATGATGGGCTTGGTGCAGAAGTGCGCCGATGGTTTCAACAGTTGCGCCGACTCCAGTCTTTAGCACATGCCGCCCGTGCTGATAACCAGGCCCCATCTGCTGTTGACTACCGCTTGGGTCTTTGGCGCTCTATCCTCCGGGCTCGGGGCTTTCGTTATGGATTTGCAACATGGTGGACTTCCCGCCCCGTCCGCTTGGTTGGCAGCCCTACTACCGTGCCTTCATTTGTGCCCGCAGCTGCCACTGCTCGTCTGCTATATGAAGATTTCCGTTGCAATTTTCGCAAACTTGAGTCCTGGCATCTGCGACGCCGTGCGCAGGTCCTGGATGCCAAATATGATAAGTCCCTTGCACAGCTCTATCAGGAGCTTCGTGACCCGACCCCAGAGCAGGTGGACACGCTTCAAGTCCGCCGGGAGTATGCCATTTTGGCAACCGATCCTGAGAGTGCACAGCTCCATGTTGAGCGACCCCTTGACCAACGGGGCAACTCCACCTGGGCCATTGACGGGGTTCCCGTTCAAGTCCAATCTGTTGAAGATGACATGTGCACCCTCTCTTCTCCAGTTTCTACGTCAAGCCTTGAACTTGAGCAGGTACAGACACTCTCTTCAGTGGCTGACATACATGTTGAATTCACTTCTTTATGGGCGCCTCGATGGCAGCAACATGCTGCCGCTTCGGCCTCAGACTGGCAGCGCTTCTTGGATTTCGCATCCGCGTACCTTCCTCGCCATAGCTTTGATTTGCCCGACATTGACCCACAAACTTGGAAAATGGCGCTACGGCGCTTTAAGCCTCGGGCTGCGCGAGGCCCAGACGGCTGGGCAAGGGCTGACTTACTGGCGATGCCCGCTGCGCGCACAGCTGAGCTCCTCCTTTTTCTTCGGTCTTTGGAGTTGGACGGTCGGCCATGGCCTAAGCAGTTGGTGGTGGGCTTTGTTTGCCTCCTCTGCAAGGGCAACGGTCGTCTTGATGCTGAGGGCTTCAGGCCGATCTGCCTCTTCTCTATCATCTATAGAACTTGGGCCGGCATCCGAGCACGCCAAGTCCTTGCTGCGGTGAAACATTTGGTTCCGGAGGGCCTTTTTGGCTTTGTTCCTGGTCACGAACCTGCCGAGCTTTGGTACTCGGTCCAGCTTGAAGTTGAGTTGAGCGTTTTGGCCGACACACGCCTCCTCGGGCTTTCCACGGATGCCATCAAATGCTTTAACAACCTTCCTCGGCTGCCACTGCTGGCACTCGCAGCTCAACTTGGCTGCCCTCAGCGCCTTCTGAGCCCCTGGAGCTCTTTCCTCCAAGTTTGCCAGCGCCGGTTTCTCGTGCGTGGTCAGGTGAGTCCTGCTACAGCTTCCACCTCAGGGTTCCCGGAAGGATGCCCACTGAGTCCGGTTGCGATGGTTTTCGCCGACTGGGCTTTTCACGCATATCTGCAAGCTTTTGCTCCCTCGGCCCGGGCCCTTAGCTTCGTGGACAACTTTGCTTGTACGGCCTTCTCCGCGGCCGCTCTCGTTCAGGCTTACAATCTTGTCCGTTGCTTCATGGACTTGCTGCAGTTGCAGCTTGATGTGGCAAAGACCTTTGTTTGGGCTACACAAGCCAAGGATCGGAAAGCCTTGTCCTGTTTGGGCTTCTCTGTTTTGCCCGCCTCGCGTGAGATTGGGGGCATCATGTCTTATGGGGCAACTGTGCGCAACGCCGCTCTCAAACGCCGGTGCCAATCTCTGACACCGATCTGGAAAAGACTGCAACGCTCTCGGGCGCCTTGCTCCCTTAAGCTGCAGGTACTGCCTGGCAAATGTTGGGCTAAGGCCCTGCATGGCATCTCAGGTGTTCCGCTGTCAACGGCCGCCGTGCACTCCTTGCGCACAGCAGCCACCGCAGCACTGCAAATCCGCCCTGGAGGCAGCAGCTCCCTCCTGCGTCTCAGTTTATCTGATCCGATGATAGCCGACCCCGGCTTTTATCAGTTGTGGAGCTGCGTGCGTGACGTTCGCAGGATGGCAGCCAAGGTGCCAAACTTTCTTTCGTTGTGGAGGAGTTTCCATAGCCTGTATGATGGCCGCACTCTACATGGGCCCTTCTCGAAACTGGTACAGGTCCTTGCACAGGTGGGTTGGTCGGTTCTTGAGCCCCCGGTTCTTCTCGACCACGACGGTCTGGCGCACCACGTTCTTCGGGCTCCCCAGGCTTTGTTGCGCAGGCTGTTGGAGCAAGCCTGGCTCCGGCATGTTGCTTTTCAGCACCGGCATCGGAAAGCCATGATAGACCTTGGGGGCATCGACTTGGCCCTGCTCCGAGCTGTGCAGTCGAAGTTGACTGCTCTCGACACTGCGCGGCTAGCAGCTATCCATTCCGGTGCCTTTCTGTGCAGCCACCAACATTCTTACTATGACCTCAGTCAAACTGGCCTCTGCTCTTGCTGCCAGGTACCAGATACGGTTGAGCACAAAGTAAGATACTGCCCTGCCAATGAAGGCGCGCGCGGTGAGCACGCCTGGGTCTTGGATCTCTGGGACGAGCTTCCCGTGTCCTTGACACACCACTTGCTGCCTTCCGAAAACCCACAGCTCCCGACCCTGCGCAGGCTTTTGCAGGCTGTGGTGGATACAACTGGGTGCTTCTATGCCAACGGTTGTGGTGATGGTTGGCAGTTCTTGTTTACTGACGGCTCCTGTCATGAGTTCGGTCATGCCGACTTTGCTCTGGCGGGCTGGGGCGTCATTCTTGCCAATAATGGGGCTGCCCTGGCTTCCGGAGCCGTCCCAGGCTTACAGCAAACAGCTCCTCGAGCAGAGATCTTGGCTATGACTGCCGCTGTAAGGTGGGCATTGCACACGGGATTGCCATGCATTGCTTGGACTGATGCGGCAAATGTGGCCGACGGCGTGCACTTGATACAGGACACAGGATGCTTGCCCGGCACAGCAGATCTGGATCTCTGGGAGCGCCTTGCCGGCTTTTTGGGTCAGCTGGATGCTCGGCGCTTTTTGGTCAGGCATACACCTTCGCATTTGGACACAAGTTTGACTGAGAGCCCTCTGGAGGATTGGTTGGCTGTGCACAACAACCATGCTGATGTGCTTGCAGGCTTTGCCAATGTCAACCGGCCGCAGGTCTTTTTGGATGTCCATCAGAAGGCTGTGCAGTATTACGAGGATACATCCTGCATATTGCGGGCTCTTCGAGCTATCTTCTTTGGGATTGCTGCATTAACACCGGCTGGTACAGTTGGCCAGGCTGATGGCGAGGGCGACGACGCCGAGCCTCTGATCCCTGCAGGCCACGCTACCGAGCGCAGACTGGACCTTGAGGATGCAATTCCGTTGAATTGGGTCGAGGTTATCCGTACCTCCAAGCAGGATCTGCCGCCCTACTTTGTGCGCAGCTTGTGCGAGTTGGTCTTTCGGCTTGATGCGGAGGCAGAACATGCCTATGAGTTGTCTTGGCTGGAGCTTGTCTTCATCCTCCACGTCTTGGACATCCAAGTTTTTCCTGTCTGCGATGGTCTTGGGAGATGGAGTGATCCTTCGACACTCGCTTTTCCACCAGCGAGTCAGACTGTAGCTGTCCGTCTAGGCCTAGTTAGGAGGGCGCTGCGCCCTGCTCTGCGTTGCTTGGATCTTGAACGTCTTCTTGTTCAGGGCATTGATCGTTTGGATTTGGGGGTGCGTTTTCCCCTCGATGGTCTGATTATCGGGGTTGATACTTCTTTGCTTCTTAAAGCACGCACGAGCCTCGGCCGCTTTGTACAGGGGAGAGCTGGAACACGTTCCATGCTTGCTAGGCCGATTTAGTTTTACACCGACATGACAAGACCGCTGCGGGCCGCACTGCATTGCTGTGCGTCCGCGACATAGCACGAGTGAGCT